GGCGCCGGGCCAAACCAAACCAAGCCACGCCAATCCAGGCCAAACCAGGGGACAAACCATACAAATTCTGCGGATGTCTCCAGTGAACCGCCCCAAACCAGGCTCCATCAACTCCTGCATAGAATCCGATTGAAGAATCGATAGCCAGAGGGCCCCCTCCCGCATTGAGTCCTGCTGGGGCTCTTCAATTTGATTGGAATTGCCCTCGAAATCTTGTTTTTGATCGGGCTCGTGCGAGGTCCCTCACTTGGGCGGCCTCCACGCGCCTTCTCCAAAGGCGATCGATTGATGTGGCTGAGCCGCAGCAGGATGCACGCGGCTGGGGCACAACAGCACATGTGTGGATGCATCTGTCTTGCGAGTGTCCTCGGGGCAACGGTGTCGCGTCAGGAGAAACAGTCCGGAAACTGTGGTTGTCCACGTCCTCTCTCCCTCTCTCCCTCCATCCCCATCCCCTCTTCCTGCTCCTCCTCGTCATCATCATTATCCTCCTCCTCCTCCTCCTCCTCCTCCTCCTCCTCCTCCTCCTGCTCCTCTTCCTCCTCTTCCCTCCTCCTCCTCCTCCTCCCTCCTCCTCCTCCTCCTCTGCTCCTGCTCCTCCCAAACCTCCTCCCTCCTCCTCCTCCTCCTCCTCCTCCTCCTCCTCCCCTCCCTCCCCTCCCTCCCTCCCTCCCCTCCTCCCTCCCTCCCTCCCTCCCTCCCTCCCTCCCTCCTATTCCCTTATGCTCCCTCCTCCCGCCCCCTGCTTCCCTCCTCCTTTTTCCCTCCCCCCTGCTGTCTTTTCCTCCTTCTCCTGCCCCACCACCAGAAGGGCAAGCCCACGCAAAGCCTGACTGGAGTAGAAGACCTCCTCCTTCCTTTTCCTCAAACAGAAATTGCCCAGGAGGAGGAGGAATAGGAGGAGGAGGAGGAGGAGGAGGAGGAGGAGGGGATTTACTTCTTTGTAGACGAAACCAATGAGTACGGGGTCCTTCGCCCCCGGTGCTCCTCTAGGCTGCCCAGGGTCACCATGCATTGCCTAGGCCTGCCCGCACAACGCCAAGCAACGACAAGCATTGCACAGCAATGCCAGGCATCGCCAAGCAATGCCAGGCAATGCGAATCCAAACCTAACAACGCCAAGATGGCAAGCAATGCCTAGCGAGGCCATGCAATGCCAAGCAACGCCAAGCAATCCCGAACAATGCCAAGCAACGCAAAGCAAGGAATACAAGTAATGACAAACACTAGCAACGCCACGCAACGCCACGCAATGCAAAGCAATGCAAAACTGGAAATCATTGCCAAACAACGCCGCTAAATGCCGAGCACGGGCAAGAAATGCTAAGCAGTACAAAGTAACGCCAAGCAACGATTCGAAACAGTGTATAGCAATGCGAAGCAACGCAAATCAATGCCAAGCAATGACAAGCAACGCAAAGCAATGCCAAGCAACGACTCCAAGCATGCGAAGCAACGTCAAGCAGTGTCATGCAATACAAAGCAACGCCAAGCAGTGCCAAGCAACGGTTCCAAGCAAAGCCAAGCATCGGCAAGCAATGCCAAGCAATGCAAAGCCAATACCAATCAATGCCAAGCAATGCCAGGCAATACCAAGCAATGCCAAGCAACGAATCCAAGCAATGCCAAGCAATGCTCAGCAACGCAACGCCAATGCTAAGCAACGTCAAAGCAATGCCTAGAAACACAAAGCAATACCAAGCAACGATTCCAAGTAATGCTGAGCAGCAACCAGCAACGGCAAGCAATTCCAAGCAATACCAAGCAATACCAAGCAGCGAGTCCAAGAAATCTGTTCATCTGTCCATTAACGAGGCATCACGTCGGGCATCAGCGTCTGGATTCTCACATTCAGGCACGAAATTCGCGGGAAAGTAATACTGCCGAAAAGGCGCCCAAATAAAAAGTGCCATGATTATTGTCTTGTGTGTTTTTCCAAGCGGTGATGTCCTCCAGGCCCCGTCGCGAGGGGGGCTCAAGCGCCCCAAAAACAACCCGAATAAGCAACGATGAGCAATATTTTGAATTGCGTAATGCTGCATTGCTCAGACCTGTTGAAACTGCTCCAGGAGGAGGAAGACCCCTACTTGTGGTCGCGGCAGGCTCATGCGATTGCACCTGTAATCCGCGCTGACGCCCTTATGCATAACATGGACCCACCTGCTCCTCATGCTCCCCATCCTCCATCTGATCCTCCTCCTCATCACATCATCATAATCCGCACCATCCTCCCCATCAGCACCACCATCAGCATCAAGAACATCCTCCTCCTCCCCATCCTCATCCTCATCAGAACCAGCATCAAAACCGCCAACAGCAACAAGCTTTTTAAGACTGCTCGCTCTTACCTGCCCGCGTGCCGTTCAACACGTATACTCCCAACCCTCGATACTCACCGTCTCCGTCTTCGATCATAACCCCATGGGGAATATCTTCCTTGCCTGCCAGGCCAGGTGTAGTTGGTGCAGCCCCTAAAACAACGGAAGAGGGGGCAGATGAAAAGGCGAAGGACAAGGATAGAGCGCGAGAGAGATTAGCAGGAGGGGGACTAGGAGCAGAGAACACGTGGCAAATCCATGCGGGCAGATCGGGCGGGTCGACCCTAACGGGTGGGTCGAGTAGGCGGGCCCAGGCGGCCATGCTGAAGCGTAAGTCCTGTATGAATCGCGAAGAGGTCTCGAGCGATAGCGCGTTTCACAAGTAAATCGCGAGAAAAGCTCGAGCGAGAGCGCGATTCATAAGCGTCGAAGGCCTGGCGTCTGAATTAATTGCGAAGAAGTTCCCGCGAAAGCGCGATTTTGAGACAAACTGTGAAGACACATCAGGCGGGAGCCGTTGTTGTGGGCCTACAAAGGCACCCTGATTTGGACGGCACGAACGCGGCTCGCGCGCGCGAGGCGCGGGCGCCGCCAGGCCGCCGCGTCGGCCGGCGGCGCCCGCTGGCCTGCTCGTTCGCACCTTCTCGTCTTGCCGCCGGTCGGGGCGGGATGTTAAGTACCGACCACCTTCTGGCCATCGCTCGGACGTCCATTCCCTGTGTTTTTTTCGGTTTCGCGCGTGGTTTTTTCGCCGAATGATCAAGGATGCTCCTCGATGGCCCTCGCCGAAGGAAAAATGCACACGTCCGAGCGATGCCAAGACCACCTTCGTCGGCGCGGGAGGCGCGCGGGCCCACGCGTCAGGGGCCGCGCGGCCGCCGCGGCCAGTGCGCGCCGTGCGCGCGGACGTGCGCGGCGTGGCCCCCCGTGAATGGCCGCGCCGCGCGCGGGAGGCGCGCCGGCCCCGCGAGGGGGGCGCGCTGCCTGGCGCGCGGCTGGCGCGCCGGAGGCGCGCAGCCCCGCGGGAGGGCGCGCGCTGCCCAGTGGGCGAAGGGGCGCGCGGCGCGGCCCCGCGGAAGGGCCGCGCCGCGCGCGCCAGGCGCGCGGCCCCCGGAGCGGCCGCGCTGCATGGGGCTTGAGCTGGCGCGCGGTGCGGCCCCGCGGAAGGGCCGCGACGCACGCGGCGCCTTCTCCCCGCCCGCCCGCTCCAGGGGGTGGCACTCAAGGCGACTTCGGTCGGCGGCGGCACCACGGCGCGCTGGGCCAGCGGAGCCCAGCCGCGACGGCGCGCGCGCGCCGGCGGGGCGCCGCACCCCACGGTGTGGGCGCCCCGCCGAGCGGGCCGTGGGGCCGAGCGGCGCGCGGAGCGCTGGTGGTTGTAGACTGGGGGCCAGGGGCCCAGTCTGGTGGCACCAGACTTCCCCTCTCAAAAAGGGCACGGGCCCTGGGAGGGGCACCTCACCACCACCACCATCACCCCCCACTTACTCATCCCGCCAACCCCCATTGTCCCTTTCCCCTGTGCCGCTGTGATGCCCTCCTCCTCCTCCTCCTCCTTCTCCTCCTCCTCCTCCTCATCATCATCAGCATCATCATCAGCAGCATCATCATCGTCATCATCATCGTCGTCATCATCATCCTGACCCTGATTGTACTCCTGATCCTCATCAACATTAGCATCGTCATCATCATCAGCAGCAGCATCATCAGCAGCAGCATGATCACCAGCATCATCAGCAGCAGCAGCATCATCATCGTCATCATCAGCATCATGGTCGTTATCATCAGCATCATCGTCGTCGTCATCCGCAGCATCATCATTATGAGCATCATCATCAGCATCATCATCATCAGCAGCATCATCAGCATCATCATCATCAGCAGCATCGTCAGCATCACCATCAGCAGCAGCATCATCATCGTCAGCATCATCATCAGCATCAGCATCAGCATCATCATCAGCATCGTCAGCAGCAGCATGATCATCAGCATCATCAGCAGCATCAGCATCAGCATCAGCATCAGCAGCAGCATCATCATTGTCATCAGCATCATCATCAGCATCATCACCAGCATCCTACTCAGCATCAGCATCATCATCACCATCAGCATCATCCTCATCCTCACCATCAGCATCATCATACCCATCATTTTCTTATGTTTCTGCATCATCTTCCGCCTGCCGTGACTGGCTAGATCCTCTGCAGCCGGCACGGATGGCCTCTGCGTTCAGCGCAGCGGCGTCCGCGCGCAGCTCCTCCCCTCTCAAGTGAGTAGGCCGAGGAAAATCAGCAGCCAAGCAGGAGGGAGAGAACGCTGCATGGAACAGGAGGGGAGGGATCTGCGCATATGTAAAGAGACAGAGACAGAGACAGAGAAAGAGAGAGAGCGAGAAAAAAGAGAGAGACAGAGAGAGGAAAAAATGCACTCGTGCTGAAATGGAGCTGGGACTACTCTGGAAATCCTTTTCCTCCTCCTCCTCCTCCTCCTCCGCCTCCTCCTCCTCCTCCTCCTTCCCTCCCTCCCTCCCTCCCTCCCTCCCTCCCTCCCTCCTCCCTCCTCCCTCCTCCCTCCTCCCTCCTCCCTCCTCCCTCCTCCCTCCTCCCTCCTCCCTCTCCCTGCCGTCGCCGCCTCCCTCGCCGGCGTCGTCGCGTCCGCCGCCGCAGCCGCCGCCGCCGCGGCCGGGAGCCCGCGCGCTCCAGCAGGGCCCTGCACGCGCCCGCGTGGCCGCCGTAGGCCGCCTGGTGCAGGGGCGTGTTGCCCCTGGCGTCTCGCGCCTGCACACTGGGGGAGGGGACGGGCGGCCTCCCGGCCCGCCTCCGCCGCGGAGGGGGCCCAGGGACAGGAGGGGGACGCAGGGGGACGAGGAGGAGGAGGAGGACAAGGAGGAGGAGGACGAAGAGGAGGAGGAGGACGAGGAAGAGGAGGAGGAGGAGGAGTTGGTGGTGGTGGTGGAACGATCTCGGGCCGAGCGTCTGAGTGACCACAGAGCAGCATTCACCAGGGGGATTCTGCCATGTGCGACCTATCGTGCGCAAGATATGCGACTAAACGACGGCCCCCCGGAGGAGGAAGACGAAGAGGAGGAGGAGGAGGAGGAGGACGAAGAGGAAAAGGACTACGAGGAGGACTCCTCCTCTTCGTCCTCTTCTTTGTCCTCCTTTTCTTCGTCCTCCGCCCGGGAGGCCGAGGGGGCCCAGGGGCACACAGACCCAGACGTGAGCGCTTGGTAAAACAGCAGAAAGATCACGACGGGAAGTGTTTTTGCCATGTTCGGCCTCTGGGGGGCCCTCGCCGGGCCCCGGGACCGTCCAAAAACGGCACAAGATGAAAAGCCGGTCCCAAGGAAAGGGTCGGGACTTCGGGGACCGTACATTAAAAAGATCATGACGTCGCATGTCTGGGAATAGAGGGCACAGATCCCAGGATCCCCCATGTTCCCCATCGTTTCTGCGTGTTCGTCTTCCCCTTCCACTTCCGATCGGTTCCCTATCCCCCTGGGGATCGACGATTAAGTGTGTCTGTGGGTTTGTCTTCCCTCCCGAGAATCAGCGTTGAGGGAGGGGGTGGGTCAGGAGGGCCACGGGGGAAGGGACGGAGGGAGGGAAGGGAGGGAGGGAGGACGAGCAAGAGCTCTGGGGCCCGCTGGGATGGCGGCGTGACTGCGCCGTGACGGCACGCCTGGCCCCTCAGGCCTACGGGCCACCGCCACCGCGGCGTCAGACCGGGGCGCGCTGTCCAGCCGCCAGGGGTGTCGGCGGTTCGGGTGCAGCGCCCCTCCCTCTGTGAAGGGGCCCTGGGACACACACAAATAAATACACACAAACAAAAAGATTCCCCATATTTTCCTATATCTTCTGGGTTTTTGTCTTCCCCCCCACTTCCCATACTTTCCCACATCTTCTGGGGAATCGACGATATAATTGTGTCTGTGGTTTTTGTCCCTCCTGCCTCTGGGGGAGGGCGAGGAGCAGAGACCGCGCGCGGGCCCCGTCCCCTAAAAAAAGGCCCGCCCGCTCCCCAGGCCGCACCGCCCGCCACCCGCGCTGGGGGACAAGCCCGCGGCGGCCCCCAGACCCCCCGCCGGGCCCGCACCGGCGCCGCCCCAGGGTGGGGGGCCGCCTCGGCGCAGGAGATCCAAGGCATGCGACGTCCTGATTCGTTCCATACAGGGCAGTTTTTAATACATGGGATGTTTCTAAAACATTGGATCTTGAATACATGATCAATGTATGAATGAACTTATGCGTGAACGCATCGTTGTTTTTAGTACTGAACCCCTGCATTCTTAATGCATTTCCCGGGACGGGCCTTTCATCCCGGGTCGTTTCTGATCGGTCCTGGGGCCGGGCGCGGGCCCCGAGTGGCCGAGAACGATGAAAAACCTCCTGTGCTGTTCTGCACCTGCCCCCGCCCCCGCGGCGGCCGCGCCCCGGGGCACCGCCCAGAGGGCCCAGGCGCGGGTTGGGCGAAGGTGGGAGGGAGACCCAGAGATCCGATGCCGTGATTCTTTCGATGCGGGGTCCCCTGAAGTCTCGACCCATTCACCAGGACCGGCTTTGCATCCCGAGTCGTCTTCTGACGGCCCCGAAGCCCAGTCAGGGCCCCTCGAGGCCGAAGACTGCGAAAAACGAAAAAAAACGTCGTGATCTTTGTCAGTGCCCTGGATCTCTGGGAAGGGGGGCGAAGGGGCGAAGGGAACGGGAGGCGGAGGGGGGACTTCGTGCCCGCACTGCGGGGAGCAGGCCCAACCCGGGGCGGCGACAGTGCAAAAGCGCGTTGCCAGGAGCGGGCCTCCCGACGCTGTCGCTGGCTGCACCGGGGCCCCGGGCGGCGGGGCCTCGGGCCCTCCGCGCACCGCGGCGGCGAGGCCCGCCACGACGGCGAACCCTGGCAGACCGAGCTCCGAGCTGAGGTCGCAACGAAGACGCAGCAGGGTGGGGGGGGGGCCCGAGGGGCAGGCCCACCCCGGCGCGAGCGCCAGCCACCCGGAGGGCCTGCGGGCCAGCGCGCTCGGGGGGGCGGCGGCTGGCACCCCGAGGGGGCGCCTCCCGGAGGGGCGCCCCGAGGAGGGCGAGAAGACGCAGGAGCAGGGGAGGAGAGGGAAGGGGGGAGGAGGGAGGGGGAGGGAGGGACGGAGAGGGAAGGGGAAGACGCAGGAGGGAGGGGGAGGAAGAGGGGGAGGGAGGGAGGAGGAGGGGAAGACGCAGGAGCAGGAGAGAAGCGGAGGGGAGCAGGGGGAGGGGGAGGGGGAGCAGAGGGAAGCGGAGGGGAGCAGGGAGCAGGAGCGGAGGAGGTCGGACGCTGGCTGTGACGCTGGGTCGTGCTCTGTCTCTGCCGGAGGTCTTATGCCTGTGAAGCCCGCTGTGGCCTGTGTAACCCTGGGGCCGAAGAAAAGACAAAAAGACGGAATTAACCTTCTGGCCACAGGATGGCCTCGAAATGCCATGGCGCGGAGAGGGAAGGGGGGGAGGAGGGAGGGGGAGGCGGAGGACGGAGAGGACGAGGGGGAGGGAGGGACGGAGGGGGGGGAGAAGAGAGGAGGGAGGGAGGGACGGAGCGCGCAGGGGCCCGAAGGACAGCCCGCAGAGCCCAGCCCAGCCAAAACATACAGAGGCACTGGGAGATATTCCAGAACAGGCTGACCAATGTCTCTGGGCGCTCACGGAGAAGCAAAAGAAACGGAGGAAGGAGCAGGAGGAGAAGGAGGAGGGGGAGGAGGAGGGGGGAGGAGGAAGAAGGAGGAGGAGAGGAGGAGGAGAAAGCACCAGCAGCGCAGCAACCGACGACGGAAGAGAGAGGGAGGGGAGGAGGACAAGAGGAGGAGGAGGAGAAAGAGGAGGAGGAGGAGGAGGAGGAGGAGGAGAAGAGAGGGAGGAGCGGAGGGGAAGGAGGAAGAGAAGGGAGGAGGAGGAGAGGAGGAGGAGAAGGAAGGGGAAGAGGAGGGCACGAAGCCCAGGGAGGCAACTCCAGGCCTAGACGCGCTGCCGGGCAGCACTCAGGGCACTGGTGTGCGTGTTGGTGTTGTCTGCGATTTCGTGACTGATGATTTCGTGATTGTCCGACTCGGCCTCGGGCTTCCGGAGGACCAGATCGAGGACGATGAGCTTCAGCGGGCGGCAGTGCGCATAGCTTTGAGGAAGGGGAAGAGGAGGAGGGAGGAGGAGGAGGAGGAGGAGGGAGGAGGAGGAACAGGACGAGCAGGAGGAGGAGGAGGAGGAGGAGGAGGAGGAGGGTCACCCTCCCGTTCCTGATTTTTCTCCGTTCCCTCCCTCCCTGGGTTCGCGCCCCCCGTTGTCCGTGGCCCTCGGTCTGCGCAAAACCCCTTCTTTGCACTTCTTCCGCCTGAGGCGGTTGCGTGCCCTCTCTCGCTGCCCACTGCGACGGCACCGGCTTGCGCACGCGGCGCGGCCTGCGGAGGCAAGAAGAGGAGGAACAAGGAGGAGGAGGAGGAGGAGGAGGAGGAGGAGAAGGGGGAGGAGGCCAATCTGAAAAGGCCCACGTCGCGGAGTAAAAAGGCGACGCCAGAAGTGAGGGGACATCGGCGGCGCCCGCGCGGGCGGCCTCTCCGCGGCGGCCCGCGGGCACTCGTAGAAGAACGACGAGCCATACACAAGTGCTGGGCGTCGCGGCCACGCGCGCGGCGGCGCGGCATGGCAAGCCCACGGGTGAGCGAGAGAAGCGCGGACGGGCAATCACACAACATTTAATACTGTATCGTTGACGTGCAGCCTGTTTGAAGCCTCTGGCGTCTCGGGATACTCAGAAGGCGATGCTGAAGGCTCCTGAGGGGCGTCACGAGTAGGTGCCTCTTGAGAGAAGGCCGCGCGCATCATTGGCTCCATGACGCTGGCGCTGTGGAGGCGCAGTCGTGCCACCGTCGGCGTGACGGCGCCACTGATGCGCCACTCCTTGATGAAAGTCATGACTGCCCTGTCTGCTTCGCCGCGGGGCGACGGCGGCGTTGGAGTGCGCGCCCGCTCCTCCATGAGCGCCTCCAGCGCCGTGGACGGCGCCCGCGGTGGAGGGGCACCATAGGCCGCGCAACAGGTTCAGCCCTTCGCTTGCTGGAACGATACAAACGGGGGCGCACGGGGGCACGGGCGTAGACATCGCAGGCGAACGGCGACAAAGGCGCGATGGAGGAGGCGATGGGCTGCGCGACCGAGCGGATTGAGCCCGAAGCTGCCCTTTTCCCTCCCAGCCGCACATTCTAGTCGTCTCCTCCAACTGACTCCTCCACAGGGCGGAAACATAGGAGGCATCGCGGGCGCCGACGCGCGCGCGGAGGCCGTGCCTTCGGGCGCTCTGACGAAGGCGTCTCTGACCGCCCGCGACGCGCTGGGCGGCCTTTGGACCTGGGCGCGGGGCGCACTGGTGCTCGACCGGGCGCCTTGCGCGGCCGCGACTCTGATGAGTGCGCCCGCCGGGGGATGACGCGGGCGCCCCCTGTCGGCTGCCACGGCGGCGGCGTCGGAGGCCCAGGAGGCCCCCCCCCCCCGACGCGCGGCCCGCGCGCGCGGCAGCGGGTGGCCACCAGCGCGCAGCGGCACGCGTTGAAACGGCGCGCGCGGACCCGCTGGCGGACGAGCCTCGCGGCGGGGCTCCGAGCGCCAGGGCCGGCCGGCGCGCGAGCCTGCTAATTGGGAAAAAGGCAGCGGGCCCATCTGCGGCATTCCTTGCCGTCGCCAACTGATGTCATACATCTTGCACCCATGCACACACGTGCCTTCTATGCGTACATCTGCACCAAAATGCGCCAACGACCATGCCTGGTCTGCCCCGCCGCAACACGCTTCCAAACCACGGCGCACACGACGGCGAACCTCCCGAACATGGCGAGGATGAAGAAGGATGTTTGGTCCGGGGAGCTGCAGCACGGCACAGTCCTGATCGCTGTTCATTGCAGGTCTAAGCAACTGGCGCCCCTGGCCTGACAGCACGGCGAGTGCGCCAGCCGCGCCCAGGGCGACGGCGCACACGTCGCGCACCCACGCCAGAAGGAGCCACCAGTTACTCCACGGAAAGCAGACCCGTCGATGCCCCCCATCGACGAGCCCATCGGCTACCATGCCCCACGTATATTCCCAGCTCTGGGCCGACAGTAGACCCGAGCAAAGGAGGTCGCGCAACCAGAGCACACGCGGCAATAACGAGCGTTCTGCAATGGGTTTTGGTCTTGTAGTCGCGACGGGCGTGACCGCGCCCATTGAATCCAGGCAGAGTTATACTCTCAGCGCAAGTGGCTGCCGGTCGTCTCGTCTGCGTCGAACGGCCAGGGAAACCGCGCGAGCGTTCGATCACCTCGCGGAGTGTGGCGGCTACAGCGAGGCCGCGATCAGTCGAGCGATTCAGCCATCAGCTCACTTGCCAAGGAGAGACGCGTCACCGTCTTGCGGACGCCACACTGCCAGTCCAGCAGGCGGCACGCCTGTCTGGCCAACGAACGCCGATCGGCATCCACGCCCATGGCGCCAACGCGCAGAAAGGTAGCTCCTCGGAGCGAGCGTCCTGCGCCAACACCTTCAATATGTTGTCACCTGAACGCTGCGCCACTGTGCACTTCTAACTTGCCTGCGCAGCGCATCTGCGAATAATGGACCCTCAGTGGCAATGCCAGAGGCCAGAGCCCATCTGACTAAGGGGTTGAACCCGCGCACGTGGCCGCGCGACGGAACTGCCGCGAGGCGGAGGAGTGCCACCGCGCAAATAGGGAAGCTAATCCGCGCAATGAGGTCGAAGGCCGAGGCCATGAGCAGGCCGAGACACCGTTTGGCTAAACCTTCAAGCTCAGAACTGGCCTGGCCAACGATCACAGCTCTGCCGATTGGCTTGAGGGCCTGCAATCGATTTGATCAGGCGCATGCCCACCGTCGCGCGCGGGCAAGCGTCGCACCCCGCGGCGCGCGAAGGTCCCTTCGCTGATGTCCAGCTCACCTTCGCGAGCGACATCTTCCAGGCACTGACGTCGCTTGGCCTCCTCATGAGGCAGCCCTGCTTCTTGATGCCATCAACGCGTCCGGCGGCCAGGAGCCCGAACTCGCCATCTCGATGGTCGACGATGCACTGGTCGTCGCCCAGTGCGGGAATGGCGCGGCACATGTTGTTAGTGATCTTAGTAAGCTTGATGGACCAGCACCTCGGCGCGCCCTTGCAGCCTGCGCCTAGATTATCCATGCGGAGGGCCTCAAGTGCCGGGTCGAAATTAGCGCACTATTTTTTCCTTCTCAGGACTGCCCGGGCGTCGGGGTAGAGCTCGAAGTTAGGGTCGCGTTACTCTTCGCCCGCGGCCTTCGCGAGTTCCCAGCGGCCGACTCACTTCAAAATGACCTTCTTGACACGCCGCGGGTCGATAGCCCATCCTCGGCAAGATTCCTCAGAGAAGATCACTCGGGCGAGAGCCGCGATAGGGCGCCGGCCCACGCGGCGACGAGATAGGCGTCAACGTCCCCGACGACTCGAAATGTCAGCCCCATACGGATCCCCCACACTCTTCGCGCAAGGTCTGTTTTACTTCGCGTCCACGTCCACTTGCCTACCCACCTGCAACCAAGGATGTCGCACGCCCCTCGGCGCGGGCGCCGCGGGAAGCAGATGGGGTCCACCCATGCTTGGAGCTCATGGAGCACAACTGCGGTCACTGCTGCCGCGTGCTCTCGGAACTCGCCGGGGATGAGTCAGTCGGCGCCAAGTTCAACTGCAACCTTCTTAGACCATGCCATGTAGACGCGCGCGCTGTCCGTCTGGGACGGGATGGTCTTGGATAGATATGCGCATTTCATCCAGGGCTAACATCTCCATGCAAGCGCCACCGTTCTCGTCGACCTCGACGGCCTCCGACACAGGTCGCGGCGGCGCTGACGCACCTCTTCGGAAATTGCGCGCGGCGGTGGACATTGGGGGGGGTCGGTTGAGGTCTGGCGCCCAATATTTCTCCTAGCCGAGCCAAACCTGTCGATTGAACGCCCTGAATAGCTGCCCGTTTGTCGCGCACCAGGGAGGCCCGCCACGCGGCGTCGACCAGGCGTTCATTGCACTGGGAGCCCCCATCGGATCCCTCGTCGATGGTCGATAGCCCCCGTCTTCGCGAGCGGACTCGTCTGGGCGCGCGCTGGCTTCCAGGAGGCCGGCACCGCTTTTTACCATATCCGCTACCTGGAGCTCATCCTCCACGAGATCTCCGAAGCTGCGCCCAGCTACCTCACCTAGGGCGCACGGGAGACAGCGCATCCTGCTGCGGTTTGGACCGAGGTGCTCAAGGACGCTCAACCGGCCGGCCGCGGTGCTCCAGCCAGTCTGCGACGCGGCCTGCGATCGACCAGGAGCGAGCCGTCGCGACTGTCTTCTGTCGCGACACGGCCCAGACTGCGGCCTACTTGGACGGCCGCAACACTGCCGGGTTTTCACGCATTCCTGGCCAAATTTCCGAGGCCAAGCGCCACTTGGCGCCGGGCACCGGCAACGGCGGCGACCGCGCCGGCGACGGCAAGGCCAAAAGGTTGAAGCCTCTTCGCAGCGAGCGAAGCTCAAGATGCATGGCTGGAAAAGAACCGCCATCCATGCCTGACCGCGGGGCGTCGTAGGCTGCCTCGCAACGCCGCAAACCAGTCCACCGACGTCAATGAACCGTCGCGCGTCGCCGAGACTGCGCGGCCGCGCGGCGCCTCGGTAGCTGGCGGTTACTTGGGCGCCCGAGTTATCCGGGGCAACTCGGGCCTGGGGTAACTCGGGTTCAGATTCCCGAAAAAACGAACCCGAGTTAGCCCTGACCCGAGTTACCCCTGATGATTCGGGGCTCTGGGCGCCCGAGTTATCCGGGGTAACTCGGGCCCGGGGTAACTCGGGTTCGGATTCCCGAAAAAACAAACCCGAGTTATCCCTGACCCGAGTTACCCCTGATGATTCGGGGCTCTGAGTTACAGCGCAGGCCCACTCCGCGCGCTCATATCCTTGGTGGATGGGGCTCGCCAGAAGATATCGAATTCGTCCGGCTTCTTATCCAGGGCCCGCCCTGACATTGTGGATTTGGTTTCGAGGCGCGGCTAATTCGCGCGATGGTCGATGCGCGCGCGATCCGTTGCAAGGCGATCTCTCGCAACTGGCGCGGGTTGCGTGCCAACCCAGCCACGTCGTCTGGGAGCGCTAACATGTCTGGCAAGATCCGCGGTTGTCGGCCGAATCTGGCGCCGCATGGCGCGCCCCCCCCCCCCCCCCCCCCCCAATGGGATATCAAAGACCTGCCTGCAAACGCAACCTCCGCACGCACATCGAGAATACTAACGCGCAAGCACTCATGCCGCCGCTGTTCGCTTACACAGCGCATGACGCGTCGTAGGATAGCACCGAATCGTTCGATCATTCGGGCGCGCTGAACAAGGGCTCGGCCTCGGGCCGTGTCAGACGAAGAATGATTTATCTTAAGTTCCAAGAATGCCACACACGCCATCAACGACAAAGGTCTTGAATGGTCCGGAGGGCGAGATCCAGCACGAGAGAACGCCATAACACAAGCGTTTAGAAGATCGACGCCCTGCATCGCTGGAATCCCCCTCAAGCTGCCATGCTGCGTGCCATCGGTCGGCTTGATCGACCACGTGCCAGATCGGACACTGTCAGAGGAAGAAGATGCCCCCTTCGACTGCTTGATCGGGATCTGTGGCCAGCTCGACCGACGGAGGGATCTGGGACGCGTTGCTTGCCGAGGCCCGGCATTCGCGGCATGCGTCTACCACGCCTGCGAACACCTGCATGACATTGCTCGGGCATCGGACTGCCATCAAACGACTTATCATTTGAATCCGTGTGGCGTGCCTGAGACGCATATGCAGTTTGCGTATCTCGCGTCGAATTCGCGATGCACCGCCGGATCGTAACATGCGCAAGCTCTGAGTGACATCGCAGCCTGTCCAATCCTCTGGCGCATGGCCCCGCGCAGCGTCCACCATTCGTGGTTGTGGTCGAAAAGACCTAGCGGTTCGGGGCGCTGCAGGGTCAGGTGGCGGCGGTGGTTCGTCGCTTTCAAACATGTCGTCACGTACGGGTGCTGGTAGTGCTGGGTCGTCGACTGGGCCTCGATCTGGAGGAGGCCCGTCGGTGTCAGGACTCAACTGTGACCCAGGAACTCCTGCCAAAGGATCTTGAGACTGCTGCACGCGTGCCTCGCGGGTGAACGATCCATGTTGGCTGGTGCGGCGCTCTTGGACAGCCCTGTATGGTTCGTCGAGCCAGCGGCATCGTCCTGGCCGCTTGGCGCGGTCAAGGTGAGCTCCATCTCGCGGCGTGTCGCGCGTACACCCTGGGCATGAATATGGTGATTCAACGTATGGTGGGATTGCGCACTCTCGGTCTGGGGCCGTCTTGGAGTTCGCTTGTGTGCCCTCTTGGGCAGCTCCTGGGGCCTTCTTGGGACTGTCTTGGGGGGCCAGTTGGGGCTCCGTTGGGCCGTCTGGGGCCCGTCCCGTGCCACCTTCGGGCCCTTTTGGGCCGTCGTGGTGCCCACTTCGGGGCCTCTCGGGCCGTCCTAGGGCGATCTCGGAAGGACCTGGGACCGTGTGGGGCCGCCCGGCCCCGTGGGGCCGTCATCGAGGCCCTCGCAGGCCGTATGCGGAGCCTTCTGGCCAGTCTTCGGTCCCCCCTTGGGCCGACATGGGTGTCCGGGGGCCGTCTGGGGCCGGCTTGGAACCACATGGGGAGCCCGCTGGCGCCCAGAGGCGCGGGAGAATCACGCAACGCTGGCCTGCTTCGCCCGCGCTTCGCCCGCGTTTCGCCCAGAATTGTCGTACAGAGGATGTCGGGTTCAAGCCTCGACTCCCACATCGCACTGAGCACCGACAGTGCGTGTTGCAATTGCCCGCCTTTCCTGCATACGCTGGTAGTCGCCGCGTAGTGGCCGGGGAAGAGTTGCACACCTAACTGAATTCCTTCGCGTAGCAACCGCAGTGCTGCGCACCATTGCTTTGTCCGGCCACACTTCTTGATTGACACCTCGAAAGTAAGAGCGCTTTCTCGAGACCCTCCACAAATGTCTGGCATCCTTAAATATGTGGCATCACGCCGGCTTGAGCCCGGTATGGTTTGAGCCTGGAACGCCTTGCGCCGAAATGGCTTGAGCCAAGATGGCTATGGAGGAAGGGGGGGGAAGAGGCAGGGAGAATGAAGAGAGGGAGAAGGGGGGGAGAAAGAGGAGGAGAATGGAGAAGTGAAGATGGAGGGGGGTCTCAGATCACCACTTTTAGCGGCCTCCCCTTGGCCCCCTCAAGGGGAGCAAAGGGAGGAGGGGCTTGACGGAAAGAAAGAAGCTGATCGGGGCCATGAGAAACCCCGAAACCCTCCTAAGACCCTCCTCCTCCCCCTCCTCCTCCTCCTCCAAATCAGTATCCCTTCTCGTTGCGCCCTCTTCCATATCTTCCCCTCATTATGCTCCACCATCCCTCTCCTCCCTTCACTCACTCTCCTCCACCCCTCCCGCTTTATCCCCGCTCCAGGAAACCTAGAAAAACCCGCCCAAAAACCCTTTATAGAAATACCGTAGAAATTCCATCATCCCCTCCTTATCCACCCACCCCACAGACACACACACACACACACATGCAGACACACACACACACCACACCACCCACCAACCCACCCACCAACCCTTCGCACTCAACCTAGAAACCCCAGTCAAGAAACCTGAACCCTCCTCCACCCTTTCCTGCGTGGTTTCTTGCTCCTCCAGGTCGTCCTCCTCCTCGTCCTTCACCGCCTCCTCCTCGTCCTCCTCCTCCTCCTCCCTTCTCCCTCCTCCTCCTCCTCCTCCTCCTCCTCCTCCTCCTCCTCCTCATCATCATCATCATCATCATCATCATCATCATCATCAGCAGCAGCAGCAGCAGCATCATCATAATCATCATCATAATCATCATCAGCATCATCATCGTCATCATCAGCACCATCGTCCTCCTCCTCCTCCTCCTCATCGCCGTCATTATCAGCATCATCATCATCCGGCTCCTCCTCCTCACCTCCTCCTCCTCATCGACCTCCTCATCATCACCATCAGCATCATCATCACCATAATCAGCATCATCGTCAGCATCCGCATCATCATCATCATCATCATCATCATCATCATCATCATCATCATCATCATCATCATTAAACTCATCAGCAATATCATCATCACCATCATCACCATTATCATCATCAACGTCATACTCATCCATAATAGCCACATCGTCATCATCAGCATCAGCGTCATGAGGATCACCATCACAATCAGAATCATCAGCATCAACATTATCAGAACCAGCATCAGCATCATCAACATCATTATCAGCCGCAGCAGCATTATCACCATCAGCATCATCATCGTTAGCAGCATCATCATCGTCATCATCATCTTCATCAGCATCATCACCATCATGATCAGCAGCATCAGCATCAGCATCATCATCGGCATCATCATCAGATTAATCGTCGTCTTCATCCGCATCCTCATCCTCCTCATCATCACCATCATCATCACAAGCATCGTCAGCATCACCATCATCGCTATCAGCATCCCAATAATCAGCAGCCGCCTTATCATCAGCAGCAGCATGAGCATCAGTATCAGCGTCGGCATCATCAGCATGTTCAGCATCATCATCATCATCATCAGCAGCAGCAGCAGCATCATCGCCACCAGTACCATCATCATCGCGATCGTCGTCAGCATTAGCATCACAAGCAAACGTAGTTCTTCCGCCCCTAACCACCAATGCTGAACACCCCGCAGAGCAGCCTAAAACAAGTCCCCGGTGACCGCTTTCTCCGTATCCGCCCCCTCATTCTCCTCTTCCTCCTCCTCCTTCTCTTAAACATCAGCGTCAGCATCATCATCAACAGCAGCATACTCAGGATCCTCGTCATCCTCATGATCCTCATCATTTATCAGCATCCTCATCACCCTCATCATCATCATCATCATCATAATCATCATCATCATCATCATCATCATCATCATCATCATCATCATCATCATCATCATCATCATCATCATCATCATCATCATCATCATCATCATTTCATCATCATCATCATCATCATCATCATCATCATCATCGTCGTCGTCGTCGTCATCATCATCATCATCATCCTCATCCTCATCGTCCTCATCCTCATCCTCATCCTCATCCTCATTCTCATCAACTGTATCATCATCCTCATCCTCATCCTCACCATCATCCCACTTCCACATCCTCAACCATGAACCATGAGAGCGGTCTACGCATTCTGCCCATTCTCCCACCCCTCCTCCATCCTCCGCTTGATTATCTCCCTCATGTTTCCCCCCTCGCCCCCCCCCTACATTGAACACCCTCTAACCCACCTCCCTGCAGCATCCACACACATACACACACACACATACAGACACACACACACACACACACTCGCGCGCGCGCCATTTTCCTCGTATTCGCCGTCCCCCTCGTTTCCCCCATCGCTCCGTCTTTCTCTCGTCCTCCCCCTACTTCCACTCCTTCCCCTCCTCCTACCCTTCTTCCTCCTAACCCACCGCCGCCTCCTCCCACATGCCCTCCTCTCCTCCTCTCCCCATCATCCTGATTCTCCCCTTGCCTCTCCTCCTCCTCCTCCTCCTCCTCCTCCTCCTCGTCCTCCTCCTTCTCCTCCTCCTCCTCCTCTTCTCCTCCTCCTCCTCCTCCTTCCTCCCTCCTCCTGCCTCTCCTCCTCCTCCCACTCCTCCTCCTTCTCCTCCTCCTCCTTCTCCCCCTTCTCCTCCTCCTCCTCTTCCTCCTCCTCCTCCTCATCATCCTGCTTCTTTCCTCCTCCTCCTCCTTCTCCCACTCCTGCTCCTCCTCCTCCTTCTCCTCCTCCTCCTTCTCCCCTTCCTGCTCCTCCTCCTTCTCCTCCTCCTCCTGCTCCTCCTCATCCTCCTCCTCCTCATTCTTCTCCTTCGCCTCGTCCTCGACCGCTTTTTCCCGACAACTTACTCCTCCCTGTCGCACTCCCAGACGTTTCGGTAGGGCGGGTCGGGCGGGTCGCTCAGAATTCCTCGCCATGTATGATCCGGAAGCGTGACATGTGGAACAGCTTCACTGATGGAGGCTCACCCTAGCGCCGCGCACATTCGTCTCAAAAGTTTGCGGCCGCTGCAAGGATGGAGGGCGGGTCCTGTTCAGAATGTGGCTGTCGCCTCAGCGCCACGCACATTCGTTTTTAGTTTGGAGGATGGAGGACGTGGCTCTCGCCTCAGCACCGCAAATCGCGACAGCTGAACTGATAGGACGGGTCCTTCTCACAATGTGGCTCACGCCGTAGCGGAGCGCACATTCGTCCGAATGGCTTGCAACAGCTGAAAAGATGGGGAGCGAGTCCTGTTCAAAATGTGGCTCTCGCCTTGGCACCGCGCACAACCGCCCTAAAAGCTTACAACGGGTTCAAGGATTCGCCCGGCGGAGGTCCCAGGAATGGTGTTCTGGCGCGATCTAGGCTTCTCGAACTCAACAGCCTCACTGATTCGCAGCGCAGAGGGCCCAGGAATAGTGTTCTGGCACGGGTCAGGATTGACAGGGCGCAACAGACATCCTGACTCGCGACGCTGAAGTCTCAGAAACGGCTTTCTGGCGCGATTGAGGATTATCGGACGGTTGTCTTGCAACAGGGCACTTCCCGCAATGAAAACAAGCTCTTGTATGGGACCTAACAAGAGGGGGCTTGGAGGGACGGCGTCTCGCAACATAACTGATGCGTATTGGCTTTAAGCTGGTCCTCCTCCTCCTCCTCCTCCTCTTCCATCCCTTGTCCTCACAAGTAACTCCCTCTGCCGCACAACCAAACGTGTCCCAAGGCCAGACTTTCGCTTGAGACCTCCATACAAGTTTCTACCCTGAAGATTCGGAGCTTGTAACAGTTACATGAAGGGATGGCCAATGGACATCAAAATGGCGGTAACGCCGTAGCGAAGTGCACATTGGCTTTAAGATCTTGCATCTACTAAACGAAGACGGACGGCCAGCGGCTATCAAAATGAGGTTCTCGCCTTGATGCACAGTCGCGGTAAAAGCTTACAAGAACTGCAGGGAGGAAGGGCCCGACGTTGCAGAAATGGGGATCTCGCCGCATCGGAGCGCACTTTCGTTGCAAAAGCTTGCAACTCTTACAAGGATGGATGGCCAGTGGTTTGCACTGGGGCTCTCACCCCAGCGCCGCACACATTCGTCTCAAAAGCTTGCGACAAGGATCGAGACCGATTTTTTTTTCCAAAAGGGGGCTCCCGCCCCAGCGTCG